TAAAATAAACTGCTAGAAATCCTGTCAAAAATAGAAGGATCAAATAAACATAAAATGTCATAGTGAGATTTCTAAAGCAAAAATAATCTACCATATTGTTGCAGCACATGGATGCTTTTGGTGTGAAACTGAGCCAGGTCGTTTCTCCATGCAGTGAGTACTTGCAAAATGCTTTTCCCATCCTCTCCCAGGGGTCGGTTCTGCAATCCCTGCTGGGTCCCAGAGACCCTCAAAGCAGAAAACCAGATTCACTCCATGTCAGAGCATAGATCTGTAGTTTGGTGCTATGACAAACTGGTTCTCTGAGAACGGGTTTGGGAAGCAGGGACAGTCTTCTTTTACAAGCCAGGCAAGTCACTGGTGCACAAAATGCCTGGCAAACAGCATATAGATGCTGATAATTTTTCTTAGGGAGGATTTTCAAGTGATCATTGGGTTATGGATAACATGAGTCCCAGAATAATGCATTCAATAATTGTGTAATGACTGCTATAATAACCCGACATAAAAAAAAAAAAAAAATACAATATTTGTGCACGTATTTGAACAGAAGCAGATTCAGACTTGCTCCCTCCAAGCTGTGATAACTAAGCATCAGTCTGCTCTGGTCCAGAAGCCTCATAGCTGTGATAGCCAGATGTCCACAACCATGTCAACAAGCTCTGGCACAGCAGATTGCTCACCCAGCTATTTGATGTCAAGGACAGGGCAACTGGGCAACATGCGCAATTTTCTTTTGCACTTCAGAAAAGCTGTGACCATACCCAGCACTTATGATCTGGTTCTTGATTTGCTTTTCATGACTTAGGTTGCTTATTTTATAGACTGATCCAGAAAAGCAGGGCAGCCCATTTCCTTTTCTTGATTTGAAAAAAATTCTTGCCAGTTTTAATTTCAGGTCTGCTGCTCCAGCCCAAAAAGTTGCACGCGTAGCTTTCAAACATTGCAGAAGAATGTTTATTTGTGTTAGGATACTTTTCTAATCGGAAGTGGAACCCCAACACAAACCATATCTATCCATCAGTAAGACTCCAATATGTGTAGTTTTGCAAGATTCTAGATTTTTGGGTCAACTGTCTCCATTTCACTGCTCATCTGTGCATACTTATTATTTACATAAGTAACTACAACTAATATCTATAGAACCAATCATGTAATTATGCAGGGGTTTTCAGGTATATTATGTAGCCTTTGCTCCTCAGGTTTGACTAGAGGAGCAATGCTTACAGAAAGAAACTACACTGTCAGCAGCCCCGCACTTACTAATCCTGCAGATTCCTACTAGGGGTAAAGCAGAGGGACTGGGAGGGTCCCTCTCTCTCAGGAAAAGGCACAACGCAAGTATTGCAAACCAACAGCACAGATCCCTTACTTCAGTCTAGTTACCTGAGGTCTGGCAGCCTTATAGATGCAGTCTTCAAGCCCAGATTCCTCTCTCCTTCGTATTCCAAGACAGTTATATTAAAACCTAAGATGTTTTTACTTTTTTCCCCAGTGCCTCCTGCTGTTCACGTGTCCCAGTGTGATGCTCTGCCAGGTGACATGCATTTCAGGTGTGTTTGCTTGGTGCGTGTGCAGACCAGCCATGAGAAATGCATTGAGGTGCCCATGCCTGAGCCAGCAGATGTGAGCACAGAGTTCCTTAAATCCTTCTCCATCGCTCCTTAAATCCTCCTCCATAATGCGACTGCACCCTGCCACCCACCTGAGACCCAGGTGCTACCCTGAGCTTCAGTTTTTATCTACCAGTGAAAGTCAAAGTACACTTTTGTCCAATAGGCCATACAGACAAGAGGAGGAGAATGTTCTGTCCCAGATTTTGTTATATTTTGGCATTCACACTTGTAAACATAAATTATTAATATTCAAACAGATCATACTTTTCACAAGCTTGTTCCATACACTGGCTGATTTCCTGCAGCTTTCCCTTCTGCCTCTGGCTTGCCCCTCCACAGACATCAGACATCCATCCCAGCACCCCACGACCCCCGCTTTCTCTGGATATCTGCACTTTCACCCTTACTCTCGCCTTTCCCAGCTCTTTCCTTTGCTCCCATCTTTTTTCCCTCCAATCTTCTGCTGAACTACTTGCAGCTCTTTTGCTAAGATTTTTCAGGCTCTGCAACATTTCCTTCTCACGTCTCCACTTCTCTGGCCCATGAGCATATGCTGTGCACAGGCTTATTAACCACCCATCCTCTAACACAGGGAGCAATGAACAGCACCTAAACCTTGACTGTATTTCCCCTGGCAAGAGCAGGATCCCTGTGGCTGAGTACTCAGCTACCAAGTGCCACGAGACTTTTCTGAAGCTAATGTCACTGAGATTTCACCCTCCATGTTAGGCTGAAACTGGCCAATATATGCCAAAACTATAAGGCAGAGGGAAAGACACACAGAAAACCATACTGAAACCAAATTACTAAAATGCCAATACCCATTAAATGTGATATCTCATTTTAAAAACCAGTTAGATAAAAATAATCACCATTTTCAAAAGTGATGTACTGCCTATGCTGAGATCTAAGATCTGAACTCTAGTATCCATTTGTTTAAAAAATGAGTCATTATAATTACTTTCATTTCCCATCAGACTTTCTCCTTCGTCTTCCCCTCCTCCCAACACTTCCTGTGAAAGGTCTTGGTAAAATCTGCATGGGGACTCCATCACCTCTGTGAACCTTCTACCCCTTTCACCAGAAAAAGAAACCTCATATTCAACCCAATTCAACCACAACTTGGCAAATCTTGAGAGGATATATCCAAAGCATATATGGTGACATGTCCTTCAGATTCAGGTCAATTTAAAGATGTACAAAAATGTGAACAGGATTATTTGAGAGAAATAAATACAAAAAGCTGTGCTGATAGTGTAAGTCATTTCAAAGAGCACTGAGGATGGATAATCTTGCACTGGCCCTGTCACTGGTATCACAATAGCGTCAGGATCTAATAAAGATGTAAGGAAACCTTCGGGGAAGCACACGGGCTTCATGGAAAAGCAACCAACCTGAGAGTGCGTTGCTGGAGGAGGAATGGCAGTGGGAGCTCACTCCTGTGCCTCACTCATTCCCAAGTTATGAGATTTTTACTTCATCCACAGAAGCTTGAAGATCTGCAGTGATAATAAAAATGTTAATGCAATCTGAGCTACCTCAGTAGTAGTGGGACTAACTATTAAAATCTCATGAAAAACACAATGAAGCATTTTTTTTATTTATTTTTACGCACTAACCACAGCAGAAGACAATTTATCAAACCCATTCACTACATCTGACTAATAGCTTTGTACATTACAGGAATTCACTACAAAGCGATGAAAGCTGATAAGCTGCAAAGCATTTCTCTTCTTGTAAATATTGCAAAATGTCCAACAGTGCCCCTAATACTGCTGCAATAAAATCAATTAAAAAAAAAAAAGAAAGAAAAGCAAAAAGCATTTCAGAAGTACAGAAAAAGTCTTTTCACTATTTTTCACATCTATGTTGCTTTCCTTCCATTCTCTGGAAAAATCAGTCATGCAGCTGTGTCGTTACAGGCTGCAATCTGTTGGGTTCGCAGTGTTTAAACCACATGCATCCCAGTTACAGCTCAAATGGCAGAGCCCTCAAGGAACAGCAAAGTTCTGGGGAAGGTTATCAGCCCAGCTTCAGGGTGTTTTTTCCCTTGAGTCAGATCTGAACCAATGTACCATTAAAATATTAGGCGACACAGAGCTCATGTTTTAGATAACCTACAGCTCAGAGAAAATTGATGGGTGATATTGCTCTGCCAGAGCAGTGGTGAAGGGGCAGGGAAGAGGAAAAGCTAAGCAGCTCTCCCCACCAACAGGGAAAACACCTTGCACTACACTGCACTGCTGTACACCGTGCCTCCGAGGGCTCCCAGTCGCACCCCTGCTACTAAGTGTCGTTGAGGAAACAAGAAGCAAATTTTCTGCTTTGTGTTATTTATCATCACAGTGGCTTCTCCTGACCACTGGAACTACAAATGTTACCAATAAAAATGCAAAACCACTATCCTGACTGACTGCTGCTATTGGCATAGGATACTAGAGACATTCTGAATGTTGTGCTCTCCAAGTCATGATGCAAATATCTGCCCAATTATGTTTTTTTTCTAAAGTAAAGATGGGAATTCTGCCATCCAATGAACTTGAAATGTCACTCTGTAAAAATAACCCCAATATGAAAGCAATGAGCAATTTTAAATGGTGAATGTACAAAGTACCCCAGAACACAAATGAAACCTTCCCTGAGAATCATAAAACATTTTGAAAACAGTAATGGGTGAAATTGAAACTTGTAAGGAGGGCAGCACAGGCTGTACATCACTTAAGCCCTACTTAAGGCCTCAAAATAGGATTTAAGTGAAACTTAGCTGGTGCATGACACTTGTGCTGACACTGCAAAGCTGAGTGCCACCCTGTAATGACCTAACCCTCGCAAGCAAGCATTCCTTTGAGGATCATCACTTTTACTGCATCCATAGCATTTAAAAAAACAAACAAAACAAAACAAAAAAAACCCCAAACCTGTCTTTTGCACTGCTGTTTCACGTTATGAGGAGCCTGGTGGCACAGTCATCTTCAGGTATATTCATTTTTCATATTCATGCTATGGCATGACACTCTCCTCTCAGCTGTGTTCCCATCCTGCTACCTGGGTCAGTAGAATTGTTCCCACTGGAGACCTTTTATCATGAAGATGCAGCTCCCGTTAATTGATTTCATGAGACGTATAACACTCACTGATACATCTTGCAGTACTGGGAGGACAGGGCAATTATTCAATGAGGGTTTGCTGCTTCCCATTTTGACAATTGCTGCTCCTCTTTCCAAGATAAATTCACAGAGATGCAAGAAGAACCCAAAGAAAAGAAGTAAACCAAAACAACGAGGGAAACCACCACCACCACCACCAAAATCTCTGATAAACCAGAACAGAACAGCATGTAGGTGCTACTCTCTAAAGCCTTATATCTCTCTCTTACCTTTTCAGACCAAGCTTTGGAAATCACAGGCTTAGAGAATGGGGGTCTCTGCAATGTCCGTGCCTCTGACTGCACCAGGATCCGGGTGTTCGGCCTCGGCTTCAAAGAGTCTCCCAAACTCCACTGCGAGGTCACCAGGTTAATTGTAAGCACCTCCCCGTGGGCTCATAAAGTGTTGATGACACTGTCAAACTTTGACATGTTTATATGAAAGTATTTTAGCCTGAACCGTGCTGAGTGCCATCCCTCACTGCCACAGCGGCATGCAAATACCTTCAAAACCCATTGCCAACACGTTTGCTATGAGCAAGAAGAGCTGAAAGGGCTCAGCCCTTCCCAGGACTGGTTCCTTGGAAATGCAGAGCTATGCATTCTTGCTGATTTTCTCTGGAGGGTTTTGTTTAACTCTTATTTGGTTCAGCTGCACTGTAGTGCGGTGAAGCCTGAAATCAGAATATTATTTCTCATTTTGTGCATCTGGTATCGGTACGCTTGGTTGTGTTCCTAAACACATCTGAATGGTACGTCGTGTGGTTAAATAAAAGGTTTCCTCACCATAGTTACAGAGGCTCTTATTTGAATTTTCTTAGTCATAGTTCGAAAGCAAATCAGAAGTTTTAATGAGTATTAAACCCATCTTTTCTGCTAACACTATAATTTTATTATAAACAACTATACACAGTCAACTAGGACTGAATTATTTGGTGTATCAGCATACTCAGATATGAAGTGTTTGATTCATCTCATGAATCCACCTCATGAAAGACTTTAATTTCAGCCTGATTCCCATTCAGTGCTAACAACTAATGGGGCACAGCTGAGATTTGCCTACCATGCCAGCTTAGGGCTCCATAGAATCCCAACTAGCAGTGATGCAGCTGATCTAGATAAGTAGCTGACATTGCCTCCAAGGAGCAATGAGCTAGCTGCTGAGCTCCAGGAGTAAACGCAAAGCTGCTCCACCACGTTTCCCTGCCTCATCTCAGCAGTTCATCCCAAGCACACACCACAGCACTTCCTAAATCAGTAGACCAGTTGCATGCACAGATGAGCATGGTTTGCTTTTTATTGTGGCTATAGTAACAGCATTTATTTTAAGTAAACCATCTGAAAATGCCTTATATTACTAAGTAAAAATATAAACGTATGTTGACAACTGGAATTTCTTTGTATGAGCCTTCAGCTTCTGCACTCTCCTGTTTTATTTTAGCATCTCAATGGCGAATGGATATCAAGAGAACGAGAAACCACAAAAGCAGATTTTCTCAGCTCTGAGGCTGTTGACTGCCAGATTCCTCTCCTGAACATTACAGAGACTGAGGCTGTGCACTTTGTGGCCGGTGATGAGCCGTTCGCAAGATGGCAAGTGAAAGTAGGAATTCCTTATGTTTCTAAGAAATTATTTAGAAAGAGAAAATCAGATGTCATGGCAAATTAAAATGCAAAGCACAATTTGCTTCCCTTCAGAAATTAAAGTGCCTGTAGAAACACTCATGTTAATGTCATGTAGGCAAAAAAAAAGCCACCAACCAAACAAATATGAGGTAAAACCAGGTGTCTTTGTAGGCAATTCGAAAGTGCAAATTACAATCACTTCTCCAGGTAGTCACCTGAGATTAATGCAATTGTACTAATCAATTGTTAATCATTAGTATTTAATTTCTGGAAACCCCAGCTCAAACTTCTCATTAGGCAGCAAGTATGACAGCTTTCACTTTCTGGTTGCAACGCTGATGCTTGGGCAGAGTAGAAGCAGAGCATTGGCTGGTCCTGGGCAGTAAGTGAGGGCCAGCATGGTGGAAGCAGATGAAGACATGGACATGGTCATGGTCTTGGTCTTGACTGACTGCAGGAAGAAGCGTGTGCAGTAACTGCTCATGCTGGTTTCTCTGGTGTGGTTTTAGCCCCTTTTGTGCACAAAATAATACCTACTTTCAAAATATTTCCAGGAAATCAGTGCCTTACTGACCCTGTGCCTGCTACCCATGGTCTTGCTCTCAGCCTGGATGGTGATTTTCTGCAGATTGGTTGGGGTTTTTTTTAAGACAGAGTTCATTTAATGGCTCCATAGCTGAGAAAAAATACATTACCATGGTAAAAAGACTGCAGATGTGCTTTGACAATTGCAGCATGTAAAACTGAAATGCTTAAGACCCCTCACTTCACTGTGGTGTCACTGCCTGTCCTGCACCCCACAGCTGTCAGTACCACAGACCAGGCCAGGGACCAGCACTGCCATGTGGCGTAGGGGAGACAAAGATGGCAGTGCACATTTTCTATCTGGTAATTTATTTTAGATAGATGGGGATTTGTGTTTTAAGAGACTGGTGCAATATCTCTGTGGGAGCAGAGTCTGATCATCAGCTACCAGGGTGGACCTTGTACTTTCCTTTTGGAGAAGGAGCATCAGAGTGGGCAAACACCAAGTCTGAATCAAGAGAGCAATTCCTGTGCTTAGGACTCCAAAATTTTCCTAAGGTCATACTGAAACCCTGCCAAAAGTGAGGTGAAATGCTGCCTCATGATGGAAGGATGAGAGAGGCAGAAACCATCGAGTTCCTTGGCCAAGAGGACAGCTGACAGTTCTGCACGTGCACAGGGCTGTTTCTCCAGTGTAACCGGGATGGCTTCCTTGCAGCTCAGGTGTACTACAATGCAGTTTGCTTTCAAGTGCTGCCTTTCAGCCCTGAGGAGGTCTGTACAATTCTCCTCATTTTTTCCCCCTCAAAACACATACAGAATGTCTCTTTCCTTGAACTTAATTTCAGGAAAACCTCTGCACCTCTAAGCCTTCTGCCCTTTCCCTCTCCTTCAAAACCTGCAGAAAAAAACAGGTTTATGGTTATGCAGCGAATGCACAATTAAATCGTCTCAGTCCACATGTGAATCCTAGTTCTCCTGTGGATCTTTTTGGTGAAGGAATTGGGAAGGCAGAGCTCAGTGCCCGGTTTCAAAGGCAGCTGGCCTGACATGGCATTGCAGAGAACAAAACGATGGAGCTTTTCAAGATAAAAAATTATTTGAAATTAATTCCACAGATGTTCAAAAATTTATGCTTCGTAAAATTCCTGATAAAATTTACTACAACACTGATCTTCTGGATTATGTTAATAGATACTTTTTAAAATGTAATTAAAAGACCCTTTAGAACCAAAAATTAAAACATTTTTTTCTGGAAATACCAACATTCAATATGTTCAGAATCTCTCTCCCCTCCCAATTCAAATTTCAGAGAATTTAGGAAAGTTTCACATAAGCTTTTGTCACTACCAGCATTGGGGAAACAGGGGCTTGACAAGCTCTTTTCAGTGCTCTTTCATTTTATCTGCTCTTCTATTCATGTTTCAGATTTTGCTCATTCTTTCCATGACATTCTGCTTAAAGCAGATAAGAAAGTACATGGGGCTACACCAGAGCATTTGGTATAATTAGTTCAGATATCAAAATACAAACTCCTACTTGGGCAGCAGATGACTTGGACGGTCCACACAGATGCCTGGGTGAAGAGGTGAAAGAGTTTGGCAGGCACTTATCTAATTCAGGAAGCAGATCTCACTTATCCTCAGTTTGTTATCTTTGCCTGGATTTGTCAAGAGCAGAAAAAATACTTGTTAAAAAGTCAGCAAGGCAGAAACTGAATTTGAATTCAGCAAGATTTTACAGCTTTCATTTTTCATTTACAAATATTCACACAAGTCAAATAATTTGTAGATTACGAGTGATAAATATATCCAAGATTGTCTCATGATGAATTAAATACTTCAGGCAGAAGTGACAGAACTCCTGACTTTCCTGACTGCTTATCCAGAAGAAGTGGCTCTTTCTTCCCAGATGATAGATACATTTAGGCAATCAAAGCAGAACTCTAATGCGTCTTTGGCTTTTGAGGGCCACCCGCATTTGAAGAGAGGTTTACTCAGCTTAGGTCTCATTGAAGTATTTGTTCCACATCACTAAGGTGACTAATGGAAAAGCAATTAAAAAAGCTATAAAACAACCCAATTATAAAAAGACACCAAAATGGATGTTCATAATAGAATGCAGGGGGGGGAAAAAATACAGGTTAAAAAAAAAATACAGATTAAAAAAATAAAATCGACAAGAGTTACATTTCACTCATGCTACCCACTTCAGAGAGAACAATTAGTGCAATTTTATAGCTTTTTATATTTTTCCCTCTCTACCCATTATTAGTGCACCAGTATTGAGACAACATTGGACACTCTGGTAGAAGAATTAAATGAAATGTAAATTGCATTAGGAATAATATACTTTTAATGGAAGTCTTCCTGCCAATAAGCTCTGTCTTTCAGTGAAGAGCAGGTCTTGGGATGGGTTGCCTGTTTTACTTTTTTCTCCTCTCAAACCTTAGCATAAGTTCTTCAGTTCTTTTAAAAGAGTTTTTACCTTTAGTACAACACACAACAGTCTAACATCTCCACTTCTTTCCTGAGCGCAGGAAAAAAGTTTTTTTTTCCTTAAAGCTATACCAATGAATTTTACCTCAATTTAATTTAGCCCAAAGAAGGTGTCTCTTTCACAATTTCAAACTGTAAATACCCATGAATACTGCTTGTTTACTTCCTTGTGTTGGTTTCTGCAGAAACAAGTGCTCAGCTCACAGTGCATTTTGAGCTGAGAACCACATGTGAAACTGTGGGAATAGCTACCATATTAGATACATGGCAGGGGGGTTAGAACTAGATAATCTTTGAGAGCCATTCCAACCCAAACCATTCTACGATTCTGTTATGTTCCATGAGCTTTCACATCATTCTTAGTGAACTTATAACTGATGCTCTTTATCTTATGAAATTTATTAATTTTTACTCTCTGTATTTCCACTTATCTTTGTGCAATTTAGCATACATTGTTTCTGAGAACTGAAAAAGTTTATTAATTGATCAAAAAAGTTTGTGCTCTTGACCTTGTGCAAATTCCTTGTAAAGGGAGTGAGAATATTTCAGCTTTAGGATCACAGGAGAGATGGAGGTCTTGGGGGTTGTTTTTGTAGCAAGAGGACAGAAGGGGTACCCAACTGATCCAAAGCAAAGGCCTTGTTAGATCTGCACAACAGCAGATTTAGTTTTATTGTGATAAGCCAAAACCTAAAAAATACCTGACAGAAAGGGCTTTGCTTTCCTGCTGGTGTTCATCAGCGTTTACAGTATGTCTTTCAGCTGTGTTTTGCATTGGGGAGCTCTTTTAACATTCACACATCTCAAGAGCTGTCACAATGCTTTCTCAAAAGCTAACCTTTTCCACACTAGTCTGGAATCTTTTCATTGTTATTGTAGAAAAATTGAAATATACTCACTTAAGCACTTCATATTGTGTAAGCATTCATATATGAAAAATGCCATGCTAAGTTAAGGATTTCTAAATTACCTACAAGTACAGGAAACTGAGCTGGGAAAGGGTGTGACTGTTTTTCTAACACACCTTCCTCTGCAAATGGGACTGTTGCCCTCTGGTATTATCCACACTACACACTAGTACCTTATTTTTTAAAAGTTAATTTAAATCACCTAAGAAACATGCTTGCTTTTTTTTTTTTTTAACCCCAAGGTGTTTACTTGCTGATTTGCCATTAGTAAGAAAGTTGTCCTGAATTTCAGCCAAAAAAAAAAAAAAAAATCTTCATTTCATTTCACAACTCCTTGAAAGACACCCTTGCAGTACTTGAGTACCTATGCAGTTTCCACAGGGGTGTGGTAAAATCCCTCAGAAAAAATAATAACGGCAATCAGAAAAATTGAATGCTAGCTGAGCCAAAAGATCTTTTGGTTATAAACGAATAGTTTCCAGTTAGGAGCATTAAGCAATTTGTTAGCTTGCAGTAGAGCCACTCGCAAGTGGTTTAATTAGTCTTGCTGGCAAGCATCCAGTTCAAGGGGGCAACGGTATATGCTCCAAAATGAGCAGACAGTCTCCATATGGAACATTATTACTTATAAGGATGATTTTTGTATCATTTAGATCACCAACGATGGCTTCCAGTACAGTAATTCCAGAGTGCTGACCCTGTACGATGCAGTCTGCCAGGCCTGCCAATTCCATCCAACCGGACTTTGTAAATTAAAGGTAATTTAAAGAGCATAAAGGTTTAATATGAATCGTTCATCTCTTCCTTAGCCCTGTCCCTCCCTTTGATGTACTATGTGTAATAACTGCTTTAGAAGAGCAAAATCTATTTCATAGGTCAGCTTCATAGCCTAACACTTTTCTCTCTTTCACAGTCTCTTGTCTAGGATGGTATTTTTTCATACTTACGTGGGGTATGAATACCTGATAAAGCACGCTTTATGGTGGTCCTTTCACAGACAGACACTTCCAGAAACACCATGGTTGACAATATTTCTATGTTACAGCTATTAATGGAAGTAAATAAGCCTGAGGAGTCTCCCCTGAAAGGCAGCTTACCTTCACTTTTGAAGAGTCCCTATTTCACCGCTCCTAGCCTGTTCGGTCAGGGCACTGTAACTGTAAGGTATAGCATTTCTATACCCATTTTCTGCCTCAGAAAGAGGTGTACTAAGATGTATGTTATACGGTTTTTGTCACATGAAAACACCTTTGAGAGATCACAAAACACTGTTGCTTACATTAAACACTGCTAACTACAAACATATAGTACTCTGACAGTTTCAAAACCGTAATCAAAATTCTAGTGCTATGTTTTAAACTGCCGACATGATAAGGAACTGCCTAGAGAGCACTATAACCCTCTGCTTTCCTGTGGACATACTCCTGTAACATCCCCCATCCCTTAAAAAAGAGCTTACCTACTCCTATTTTCTAGAGGGTTGTGTTAGACAACTTTTCTGTTTTTCAGTGGGGCTTTAAAAAAAACTTTTGGAGGGGTTTGGGACACTGCTCCTGTTTTCCTATCCCTAGGCAAGTATGAGCAGATAGGAGACCACCATTCTGCATTCTTATAAAATGAAGGTTAATCAGGTATATCTTATTTGCCTCAGTGTTCTCATTAATACCAATGGGAAAATACAATTTTCAAACTTGTACTGATTGCAACAACATACCAGTTACCAAAATAAGATGAAAACTCATATTTTTTCAAATAAATCAGGGAATAAAAATTACTTTATAGGCCCAAACAAGGCAAAGCAACTTAAATTTCAGATTAAAATAATTGTGTCAGAACCATTTCAATTAAAGCTAAGGTATAGGAGTTTTGTCAAAGGCTTTCCTTATTCTTACATTTTTGAAACTCAGAAATATAGATGTTTTCTCAATATGCTGGTGTTCTCTAGGGATTATAATAATTTCTATCCAAAGACGCTTTAAGGGACTATTTGAACTAGGTTTCCAATTGCATCAGACCACATTCTAATTACCCCTCTTATAACATTACTTTGTAATACCTAAATTGCTTCCAGAAAAGGTGTTTCAATTAGGGGACATTTTATGTCAGGCTATTTCACATTCTGTGTTCCTCTTTTATGAGGCCCATTCTGTACCACACTATCACATCAGAAAAAGCATCTTTTTTATCAGAGCATCAAGCCTGTGAAAACAACAATGTAATAAAATCTAATTAACATCCAGATTTTAATGCTGAAGGTCTTACATGTTCTATCATGCCGGGGCAATTATGAGAGTCCTTTTTGTTTCTCTACCTTACCCATTACTCTTAAAGCAGTATTCTTTAATATACTGACTAATACACTTGGCAAAAGAGCCTTGAGAAACTAATACCACAAGGCCAGTAACAGAATACACACTGGTCTCAGAAAAGCAACGTGTATGCAAAGGAGGGCAGAGGAAAAAGGTATTTGTTCCCTGGTAGCTTCTCCTTCTGGTTGTCCTGCTATAGGGGTGATATCCCCTGTGTTTCCAACAGAGTCCCACGTGTTCCTGGAGTGAGCAATGTCAGACAAAGTCCCATCTGCAGGTGTGCCCTCACCCAGGCTACAAGCAATACGCATAACTCTGCAATAGGACCTTCTTGTGGCATAGACATTTAATTATATCAGTTAATTATGTCCTTGTGTTCATTCCTCAAAGTGTCTTCGGCCCTCCCAGAAGCCACGGGGACTCCCTGGCACCAGTGATGTGTTTAGTTGGTGTTTACACTCTCATGGAAGCTTAAAATTGATTGAATGCAGCCCTTTATTCTGCTTTTATATCATTGCTTTTTTGTATTTTTTTATGAAGAACCTCCAGAAATAATTAGATTACCAGAACAGGATTCCAATATTTCAAATGGAGTTTTTAACCAGTCTGAGTTTTTGTTACTCTCACAGAGCTCAATTTGAGCTTACCTAATAATCATCATATTAGTAGTCACAACTAGGAATAGTGATCACATACACTACCTAAGCGTGCAAATGAAAACAAGAAAGTCACACCCTGTTGCATTCATCTATAGCAAGCAACACCACATGTTGCCTAAGCTAAAACATTCACAGCTACAAGGAATTCACACTAAATAAACAGAAAACTTACATGTCTTGTTTTCTCCGTTGGGAGAAAATGCCATCATTTAAAGTGCTGCTATTTTGTTTCAAGATACAATGAGTTTCTGCTTATCTCCAGAAATTATTAATTGCTAATTTCTTATTTCTTTTTTTCCTTACCTCCACTTCTCACCCATTTTAATTTCCTTTTTTTTTGGCAGGAAAAAACTTGTAATATAGATGGACTTTGCTATGGTGAAGGAGAGTCAAGCCCTACCAGTCCTTGTCTTCTCTGTGAACCTGACATTTCTAAATTCACTTGGTCTATTAATGAAAGTAAGACCGTTTTTATCTAAGATTTAGAAGCACTTAGCTGGGAATTTATGGCTCGGTCTATGAAATATATGGTTCCTTCATTTGGCTAACATGAATCTATCGTGCATAATAGT